TATTGTGAGGTTACACCATTCAGATATACACTGTGTTTTCTATGTCTATGCCAGTGAGTACTCTGTGCCCTAAAAGGACGAACCTCTGGCTAATACTAATAGGCATTACTAATATGTCTTTCGCTTCAGCTTGGACACAGACCGAGATGAACAGTTGTGAACTGTAATGGAAAAGACTGATTAGCTAAACCTCAGGCGAGCTAGCTACTGAGCCCAGTCACATGACAAATCCTAAATGGCAAGGTGCCAAGAAATCTCTCTTGGCATTACACTGAGTGTAGAAGCCATTATCTTTCGTTCCATGTAGTGTACGTATGTAAGGAGCAGCAAATCTTTTGGGATTTGGCCTAGTCTCTGGGCTGGCATTTTCTTGCATTTCAACTGCTATCAATATTATAATATTAAATTTTGTTTATCAGCTTAGCTTGTTTCATGGAATGTTTAGTGGAAAAAATAATTTTCTGAGCTCTGTTTTGTTAATATTGTTGCTGTTGCTGTTGTTGTTTTTTTCGGAATTTTTTTAATGCTTAATGTCATGTAGTACCTGGGTCCCTGGAGGACTAGTGGGTAGGCCAAGCCCAGATAAAATTGGGGTGGGTTGTGTCAGGAAGGGCATCCTGCGTAAAAACTGTGCTAAATCAAACACGCAGACCAATGATCCACTGTGGCGGCTCCTAACGGGAGCAGCCAAAAGAACAACAACAACATCGTCATGTAATACCCAACTGCTATTAATTTTAAAAAAAAATGTATTCAAATATTAATAAAAAAAAATTCTGAACTGTGCATACTCCACTGATGTCTGTTTCATTCTGAAACATGCATAGTTCATTAGTGACTTAACTGAACCGTAAAGAGATCTTGTTTGATTAGTCAGACAGCATGTAGATGGCTGAATGTGAGCTAATTGCATGTTTTGCTATTTCTTTTCTAATGTTTTACTTCTGTACTTTCCCTGGCAGTGTATTCTTCTCATAATCTCAGTACAACATCTAATTTCTATATGCTAATTTCTTTGCATGACCTGTATGTTACCCAACATCAAAGCTTCATTTACTGACAGAATTAAACTCAGTGATGCATAAAGCATGACAATTACAATGCCTCAGAGGAGAAAATGTGTAATAAAGAAGACACAAGAACAATAACACTGGACAAAGATAACAATTAAGTTTATCCCATGTTGTCCAACCTCAAGCAATTCTTGTGATAACAAATTTTCTGAGCTGTAGGATTTTTTTTTGCCTTCGTTCAGGTGCTGCAACTCATACTGTACATGTCACCCTTGCTTTATGGGATAATGCTTTTGCTGCCCCTAACGCCACCTTCCCTACCAAATACATTGTTTTGGCACACAATTATTTACCCAAATGTTCTACTAAAACAGTTCTACAAAATGATAGACATATGAAGGTCTTCCACTGACCACTAGTCTCCAAAAAGTCATCCCTCCCTAATTTGTATATAAATGTTCAACACTTGTACAAATGTAAGTAAATATTTCTGTATAGAAGACATTTATATGGGCAAATCAGACATACTGTACAAGTTAACGTAATAAGAATCTGCTGAGCTTAGACCCATAGTTTAAAAATCTCTGCAGTATTGTGAATGTTTATGCCTATTAGCAATGTTTACCTGGTAATAAAATATTCAACACATTTTCTTCTGAAAAAATCCTTGCAACTTTTTAAACAAAGAATCAATGTGCTGTAATTTCGAAGGATTTCAAAGGACACTATATGGCTACAATTACACATGAAACTCACAGTATTGTTAAACTTTACTGTAAGATTAGGCACTAAAAACACTTATTGTTTCATTTCTTTCATAGTTCTTTCACCCTTGGTTTAAAAAAAGGGCATAGTTTCACTAGTTTTAGGGTAACAAATTTAACTAGGGGTAAAACTTGGCAACACTAGGTAATGTTAGCCAAGCTAGGTAGCTGACTATTTCTAGCTAGCTTGGTACAGTATTTTAAAGAGATAACTCATATAGGTTAGGTTTCCTCTTGTGGGACTGTGACCCACTGATTATATCACTGTTCATTTTCACTGTTCACTCTCTATTTAAAATACAGTACAGTGTACATTTAAACAATGCAGTAACATTGTTCTGAATATTAATTACAGTAACTAACAACTCTGCTGACAGTAAATCACTGTAAGTTTGCAAAGTATTTATTTATTTATTTATTTATTTATTTTTACAGTGTATGTCTTACATGCCCTTTCAGGTCAGACTAAGATGTCCAGTGGCCAACAATGGTGGCCAAAAACAATATCTATGATGAATACAAAGAAAGAAATGCATTATGTATGACAAATATGTATCAGAAAAATTATATTATTTCCATTATTTTTTAATTGCTGTATCAAAACTATATGAAGGGAAATAAAGAACAAAAAAGTTTTCTGAAAGAAAGAGTAGATAAAATTCATAAATGGTTTTTACCACTGCTCTGTGAGAGGAATACTGAGCAAGAGAGGAAGGAAGAGAGAAAAGGAGAGAGACTGTGTTATATCACTGGGAGCAAAGGAGAGTAAAAATGATAAACTGAGGGACCCACTGGTCACATCATTGGTCCTATTAGAGGAAAGGAAGTACAAGTAGAGGAAACTGGCAGGATGTGCTATCAGAGGGGGAGATGCCCAGGTGCCCTAGCTGCATGTGGCTGTCCAGGCTGGCACAGGAGCTGGTAACAGAAGACTGCCTCCTGGCTCTCTCCTCTCCATGATTCACATTATAGATGAGTTTTTTCACTCTGTCACTCTGTTCTGTAATACAGTACATTCATTCAGGCAACAAAACAAGAAAGGTTTCATTTATATACTGGCTATGCATCTGCAGTAAAATGATGTAAATAGTACTGTAATAATAAAAATGTAAAATAAGCAGGGAATGTGACCAAATATGAATGCACAAAGGAGACATCCTATTTAGGTGTTTGTGGGACAAAGAAAGACTCAGACTGGTGCAGCATTTATAGTGTTCATTCATTCATTCATTCATTCATTCATTCATTCATTTTAGTAACTGCCTTCATCATTAGTTTGTTTATATTTTGGGAAATGGAATGAACTAAATTCATTAGAAGATATATTATTGTACAAAAAAATAACTCTGTTAAAAATACAGTCCTGTGCAAATCTCTAATTAAGACCAATTATGAACTTGAATGATATCGCTGGTCTATGAACTGCCAAAGCCAAAATTCATAGACCATGACCACTTTGGGTTTAGATACAGATAGTGGCATTGCGTTACACCTCTGCCCTGTAGAGAAGCTGTTTTTTTGGGTTTTTTTTTTGTTTTTTAGATTGTAAAAAAAAAAACTTAAAACGAAGCAATATGCTTTTAACAGGAAAGAAATTAGCAATTTTTTTTAAAAACAATTCCAGTATGACTAAACCACTGGAATATGATAACTGATGTATATGTTGTAAGTAGTCACAGCCAAGCAATACAGCCATCTTGAGTTCTGAAACGATATCTAGATTATGCTAAATGTTGCTGTGGCACTGGGTGGAGGACGTCTGGATAGTCGAACACTGAGAGACATTAAATGGACTCAAGACTTTGTTGTGTTTTTAAATCAAATCCAATGTAGACATGATATACAGTATACTGTAATGTAAAGTAAGATTTAGATTTTGGGTATATATAATCTGTGAGATTCACCTATGTATCTAAGGTGAGTTACGGTTTAGTCATTGCTGAGCTAAATGTATTTTCTAAACCAAGAACTGCACTATTGCATTTTATGTCTGATATCCTTTACCATGGTGCAGATGCTACTGCAATGCCTTTTTTTTTTACATGCCTAGTGATACAGTAGTTCTGCTGTAATGTAGTAGTTAAGTTATACTGAAGTATATGACAGTCATGGGAAAGTGTCTCTAATTCATAATTTAGACATATAGATTAGACCTCCAAAATATTAAAAATAAAATGTAGATTTATCCCATTGCATTTCAACAATACAAAACTTTCCGCAAAATCAAAAAGGAAATAGTTTGGAAAAAATAGTATTGCCATGACCCTTTCTCTTTCAGATATAACTTGAAGGTGGTGTATGACATTTGGTATTATAACAGAAATGTCAAGAAAAATGAGCAATGATTTGCCAAGCTATCTGGCAGTTAGAGCAGAAATGTTAGAAAGTGTGTGTGTGTTTGTGTGTTTGTGACTGTGTGTGTATGGGGCAGCTCAAATACTACAACTGTGGGGATTCAGTAAGACTTTCACTATTAATATATTCACACACTATTTGGCCATATTTGTTGCATTTGAGAACAGGCTTTTTTCATGGCAGCACAAGTGTAATTTGCTGGTTATCTCTGGTGTCTGCACTGACGTGGATGGAACAGCACAATAGGGGGTCTGACATTCAAAAACTCTGTGGAGTGGCAGGAAGCTCATGTCTCTTTTAGTTATGTTCTTGTAGACCTGCCGGAGTCCCCACTTGCACAGCAATCACAATACACATCCTTTGACTTTGTAAATTCTCATCATACCTAACAAACAGTTTCCTCTTGGAGCCCTCCTCCTGCTGCTATGGATAATCTCACTTGCACACTTTCACTTCCTAAGAACTGCTGCTGTGATTATAAAGACTGCCCCCTGGCCATCCCAGGACTCCTATTCACGATTTGTTGTTTTAGAGTTGAAAACTTACATTCAAATGATATGCCAATGTTTAAATGGGGGAAGTTCTCTTAATCACACTTTTCTAGGGGGCATGAATAGCCATGAATTAGCGTAAATAAAGAAGCTTAAGAAGTGTACCTATACTGACTGACTGTAATGTAATGCTAGTAATTCCACAACACAATAAATCACCGCTCTTCATATAGATATAGTCTTTCAAGACCAGAAAGCAGTTATTCTCTCATATTGTGGATGTGTTTACAATTTCAAAATTAAAATTCTCTAAATTATTACCACGTCAGAATTTACACAAGAAAAGAAAGGAAAGGAAAGGAGAGGAAAGCAAAGTGGGCAGTAGTGGCTCAATGGTTAAGGCCCTGGGTTGCTGTTCTGAAGGTCAGGGGTTCAAGCCCCAGCACTGCTGAGCTGCCACTGCTGGGTCCTTGAGCAAGGTCCTTGAGCAAGGCCCTTAACCCTCTCTGCTCCAGGGGCACTGCATCATGGCTGACCCTGTGCTCTGACCCCAGCTTCCTAACAAGCTGGGACATACAAAGAAAAGAATTTCACTGTGCTATGATGTATATGTGACAAATAAAGGCTTCTTTGTGTTTAATTCAAGATGTGATCTCCTTTAAGCTTCTCTATGCAGAACAAAAAACCTCTTGACCCCCCACAAGGACAATTCATGTGAGTAAACTGTCATGTTTACATGTGTATTTCATATTAACTCTGATTGGCATTCCATAGTTATTTTTTTCCATGAATGTATTCCCAATACACACATATCAGGGATAAATATAGTGGTTTCAAACTATCTAACTAACACTTGCGCTGGATTTAATACAGCTACTCGTTTGAGTCAGGATCGTGCAAGGACAACAGGTCAGAGTAACTTGTACCTCTGCTGGATGTGCAACCGTATGTGCGGCAGGTAAGCCTGTAGTTTCATCTGAGGTCTGAATACCAATGTTTGCATTTACAGCGCTAACTCCTCATATATGCATGTATGTTACCACCTGCCAAGACACTGTCTTAACACAGATGCAAGGATAAAGTGGTGTTTTCCTGACAGCTTTAAAACCTTGTCCATTTCTTCCATTTCTTTGTATATATTCACTAAATAAATAGACTGAATCATTTTATCCATAACAATAAGAAGAGACAACTCAGTTGAAGACTACTAAAAATTTCTCTCCAAAAGCATTCATGAAGCTTCTTTTTTTTGCTTGTGTGTGTCGTGGAACAGATCAGCTTCTATTTTACAGCAGCGTTTAAAAAACCGGCACCAGCTGTTAGGCATGCCATAAAATGTTCCTGCTATGTTTTTTACATGCTTGTATTTGAAACCCCACAGAATCTATAAAAACCCTGTAAAAATAACATTATTAAAATAACCAATTTATTCATATCATAATCATGTGCTAAAAATAAATAAAATGAGTAGTGTCTTATCAAAGTATTAAATAAGTTTTAAAGATACTGAAATGTAGAATTTTAGCTATTCCCCTTAAATACTTATATAATAAGTATAATATAATTATAAATAATCTTATACTGTATATTGTTTTGAATGTTAGTCTGAGGAAGCAAGAAAGAAGCAAATTGTTTATTACAGATAAAGATATTTGGAAAAAAAAAATTGCGCAAAATAAGTGGAACTGCTTTCACATTTTAATTAGGAACGAGTAAAATGAAAGCTGGACCTAATCAGTGTGAGGTAGTTAGATGTACTTTTATTAGGGCATATTCATTAATAAGCTTGTATCATGAAGCTAACTAGGCTTAAAATATAAGCAGAAAGAAAAGACTGTAATCATTTTTTTAAAAAAAGGTTAAATAATGTCACATAAGAAAATATTAAAACCCCAGAAACTGTTCTGATATACTGTGGTTTACTTTATAATGGCCTGTCTGGTGTATTTATTGTTTTGTGTTACTTTGTCTTTGCACATGTGTTTCCCTTTTGCTTTGCACATGTTTTTCATATGCTTTCTGCACTTCAGATCCTTTGTGCCATGTGCCATGCTCTTGTATTGTTGTGTGCTCCATCACAGTCCTGAACAAATGGCATTTCATTCCCCTGTATACAAGTGTATGACTGGAATGACAATAAAAGTTATGTTTGACTTGACATGAGGCAAAAGCCTCAAAAAAGCCTGGACTTATCAAAAACAGCGGGTAAACATATACTATTTCAAGAGAACAATTTTCAAAGAAAGTTCAGATGGAATATAAGTACTGTTAAGTAATGTTAATTACCATATACTTTAATTGTATAGTTGTACAACGATAAAGCTGTTTGTCTTTATATATAAGCAGCTAAAAAAATTCTTCCAAACTATTTCCCATGTTCATGATATGCCATGGCATATTGCTTCCTACACCTAGCTATTCTTCTTCATATATATTTATTTGTTTATTGTTAATTAATGATAATATGTCTTTATCTGTGCTCCACATAATTCATCAACTAGTAATAAAATACACAGCCTGGCGTAGTTTTTATTATTTTCTTTTTCCATGTATGTACAATTGTACCCTTTATAGTCACATATTAGGTACTGGAGTATTAGTATTTAATTTCTATTCAGTATGCTTCTGTATACTTTAGACCTATGTCACGATGATCTATGACCTATTTTTGCGCAAGGTGCTCTTTGATAAATATGCCTCCCTCATGTCAGTTATTCATTGCATATATTCATTAGGTAGATGTGATTTTTTTTTAAAAGAAGCAGTATACTGTATATATTGTTGTAGTGAGCATTTGAGGGTCAAGAGATTTACTCAAGGCCCCAACTCTGACTCTAAAGCAGTCCTGTGATTTGAACTCATCATTCTAGTCACAGAAAATACTGAACTAGCACCGCCTATGTTGGGCTGAATTCAGGTGAGGAGCAGGGGAAAGGGTACTCACTGACTTTTCTACCAAGTCAGAGAGCTGATATGTGTTTTATTTATTTATTTATTTATTTATTTTACTTATTTTATTTATTTATATATATTTATATTTTGCATTAATTAATTTCTATCACTAATACCAGAAACTGTCACTAGTGACAAGAAATTATATGAACTCACACAGTGATGTTGCTAATGTTAGCCATGTACTGTATGTAATTTATAATGTAATTTCCTATTTAAAAACCCTCTATGGTACCTTGTTCCCTCCAGGCAACATGAACAATTTTGGCTTGCTGAAACAAAAAAACAGCAACAAGTCCCTTCTTCATCAAGGAGGACACAATACTAACTAACAGAGATGCAAAATTGGTTATATGATCCACTGGCAGCCAAGGTCAATCTTCTTTCAGCAGGTACGCACATATGCTGCAGTGCCATATTTTCTGTAGTAAAAATTGACCCTTTAACCAATGTTGCAGTCATTTTTGATTAAGATAAAAAAAAAAAAGTTCCATGTTTATTGGTAAGTTGAGATGTATTTTAAATAACTTTATATCAGGTAAATATAAATGTGTTACAATTACCAAAATGGTGCATGCTGCCCTGAGGAAACAACATACCACACAAGGCCACAGTTATATCAGTACTGCATCTGCAAACAAACATAGTTAGAATAATATAAACGTTTTTGTATTATGGCCATGAATTAACTGTTTTTATTATTTATATAGGTTTTTTTTTCATATCTTATGTTAGAATTATAAAACACTATTCAATTATGTATATATAAGCCTCTTTGTTCCACTGAACTTGCAGAGGTCGCGCTTAGTGGCATGGATGATGATGAGGGTGAAGATGAAAGTACAGTGATGTTATCAAGTCTGCAGGGAGAAAATAAGAGTGAGAATGAGGAAGACGATGATGATGATGCTGAATAAGGATGTAGAGTGGCAGGCATGATTAAAATAGGATGATTAAACAATGATTTGTAAAATTGAAAATTTCAATTTATGTATTGCATCTTGTTTCACGTGCTTGTTTAAGTTGAATGCAAATTGATGTGTTAAAAATATTTTTCCTATTGTTTCAATAGTTCCCATTATAGTACAATGTAGCTGCGAGGCAACAAACTCCAAAATCACTCAAAATAATTTTTAATAAATATTGATTGTTTAATTATTCTATTTTAACGGGAAAAAAAACCGTACAAGTGTGTTTAATCAGTAGTATTATAATGTGTGCCACAGAGGGTTCACAGGTGCAAATATGAAATGTGGATTTTTATGCACAGATCTACAAAGAGACTTGGTGATATTCATTATAAAATCTCAGGCTATTTAGTGGACCCACTTGCCCAAGACATATTCTAAGATGATTGCCTTATTTTATGTAGAAGTGTATGGAAGTGAACTAAATATGCAGAGAGCACCAGAAAATATTTGGCATTAGAAATATCTTGGTACAAAGTAGACAACTTTGCTAAACTCAGCTAATATCATGCGGTGTCATGGTTTGAGATGGGTAATGCTTCACATGAAGGTTTCCTTAACTGACATTATTGAACACACTTGTTAACATGAACAAACCACAGACTTCAGCATTATTACATCATAAGTAACTTCAACAAAAAAAAACTTGTATTGAACTGTATTAAATAATAAAACAAATGTTTCAATCCCTTAAATGAGTCAAATTAAGCCTGCAGTGAGCAATATGAACCAACACCTTAATGAACATGTTTGTGGTTGTCAGGTGGGAAAATTCAGAACTGAAGCTGAATACCAAGAAGTTCAGTAAATTATCTACATTTTTGCTAACGTATGTGGAATTTATTTCCAGCCATGGACTGAAAAATATTAACCAATCCAGTTGTATTTCATTAACATTTAAACAAACATCAATTAATATGTTTGTTAGCTTACTTTGTTACATTAACATTACTTCTGGTTTATTAATGCTAACTAACGCAGTAAGTAATGTTAACTATGTGTAGAATCATTTCACTTCATATCTATTACTGGGATTAGAAGAATCTGGCCTGCAGTACCTTTATCATTATAACCAAAAGCAACAACATATTTTCCCCTGTCACTGGATGAATATTTATATAGGGTCTTCATGGTTTACTTTTCATCATGAAGGTACCCAGAAGATGACAATGTGATTGTCAGTTATGCTTGTGGTCTTCCTTTTCCCACTGCTCGAGCTGCTCGGTGTAGTGTGACAAGATGTATTCAGCTGCTACTTTGAATTGCACTTTGTTTTATTGCATTACTCAAAGTATTACATGATTATAATGACTATATTGATAAATATTCATGCATTCAATGGCCACCTTATTATTACCTTAGGTTCAACTATCTTGTAGCGACACAATCCTACATAAAGGTGCACTTTGAAGATAAAGTTATACAAGTTTTTGTTTTTGGTTGACAGCCAGTCAAAACCCAGCAGGAGCATTGGGGTTTTGTTGCTGTAGCTGATACACTCATAGGTGCACCACAAACATGCTTTAGATAC